CTGTGGCTATAGGGGCTGCCTAACTATGGGGTGCCTACCAATACCTCTCCAGCAACGAAAAATAATAAAGAAGGTGTTTATTTGCTGCCACAGTTGAAATATGAAGACACTATTGAGTTCACTTCCTTAGGTGCAGTATAACTTTTATGTTAAAAAATGAAACACATAAAACTGAACCAAATACCATATAGCAAACTGGAATAACAGTGGTTGCTTGGAGGTAAGTGCCAAGGAAACAGGACTGGGGGTGGTGGTGGTCAAATGAACTCTACCTTTCTCTGTAATGTTGAAATTTAAAAAGAGACTAGCTCTACAATAACTTATGTCCTTAAAAGGTAATTTCAAAATGATGAATAATAAAGAAAAGACCTGGACAAGCAGATATGGTTGGAATCTTAGCTGTGACTCGCGGGTTGTTAATTTTGGGTCCCAGCTTATGGGATTGCTAACCTCTACCACGAAGGGCTGGGTGTTAAAAGAAACGAGATGGTGCTTCTAAGGGGTTGACATAATGTCTGGGCATAGAAGGGGCTCATAAATGTCAGTTGAAAGGGATGGAGAGGTTTATTTGGGATCCACACCACCCAGACTGCATGTCCTTTGGGGGCCTATTTCCTTGGGAATTCTGCCAGGACCATTGGGCACATGAGAACTTTGGCAATGCCCGGGGATGAGGTCTGTGGCTCAGCCAGGTCAGTGCACCAGCTCACACATGGCATCTCAGGGCATGAGAAACCAGCTGTGCTTTATGACCTGGAGCAGGGTGGTCCAGAATGTGATGACACCTTCTGTAGTGAACTTCCACATAATGAGTTAAGTGCTCCTTGGGGCTGTAGACAAGGTGAATGGGGCCTCCTCCCATTCCCCAAGCTGGCTGAATACTCACTGGAATGCTTAGAATTGTGTGGGACTTTGAAATTCTGGTAGGAGATGTGTGTCTGTGGCTATCTTTTCCTGCTTGTGGGAAGTGACCCCTGAACTTGCTGAGCTCTAGTTCCCTCCTTTGAATGAGGATGATAAACTCTTTCTTGAGAGCTAGTTAGTCCAGAGGACCTCATGAAGGTGAGTGAGCCACGTTGAACTCCTCGGTGCTTTGCAAAGGCTCAGTCATTGTGAGCAGAATTTATTCTCCCTCTTACCCAGCTCCTCTGAGATGAGATTCTAAATAAGAGTCGCTCAATCTGGGTTCTGAGCAACTCCCTGGCACCCCCATGCTTCTGAACTGGGTGTGAACACAGCCTGGCCCTGTGCATCCAGGAGAGGTTCTATTTAGAACATCACAACTGCTGGGTCTGCTTCCTCTCATGCCCACACACTGCACCTCCCTCCCGGCCCGTGACCTCCCGACCATGGGCCCATTCCTTCCCTAACTTCCTGGTCATGTTTAGATACAAGCTGCCTCTCTGGAGGGCACAGCACCTAACTCCCATGGGTTCCCAGGTGCAGCCTGAGGTCTGCAGTGAGCAGATGCTCTTGGACGTGACTGCTGAGCCCCTGCCATAGGCACCTCCCATTCTCTCTGCCTCTGTACTCTGTTCACCCCCAACCTATTTTCTCAAATGGAGTCTGAATGCCCTTCTGTAACACAGGGTCTCACCATTTTAGGCCCCTCTGCTGAAAACCTTTCAAAGGCTCTCTATGATTTGTGGGATGAGACCTAAGTCCCAGTGCAGCCCTGTTCGGGACAGCACCACCTGTGGTAGTTCCGGCTGGGCCCCTCCCACCCTGACCTCTCTGCCTAGTTGACAGTTATGCTTCTCTTCTGATTCCCACTGGAGGAGTGGGAACCTGCTAGAACAGGGTCCTGGATGTTGTGGTTCCCAGGCCCCAGCCTTGGCTGGGTGCCCATCAAGTGCCCAGATCATCACACGCAGCCATAGTTCAGGGCTTAGCAGTTCAGTTCAAGCTGTCCCCCTTCAGCAGGACAGCGTGGTGTCATTGGTGCGCCCAACCCGCTCCCTTCACAGTTCCTGAATTTCCCTTTATAGCTTTGTCTTTTCTCCCCTGAAATCCATGAAAGCTCATTTTGAACATAGTGGTTCCTGTAAGCTTTGATTTACACATGACCTCTTCTCTGCTTCCTATGAAAACTAATCAAGGTATGGCCCGATAGCTTCTTCTGGAGGGTCGAGAGTTAAGAATTCCACAAGCACCAGCCTCCTCCCTTTCATCGGACACCTTGGCCGTCGGTGTCCTGGGCTCTGGACAGCCCCTTTCCTTCCTCCTCTTAAAACCTTTCATTGGTGTCCTGAGGATTCACTGTTTGCACAAAAACCATGAATTTTCTCTTGACCTGGTTTCTTGCTTGCACCTCACCCACCCACTCCCTATTGTGGGCTTCCTTGATTGGCAAGTTTTCCATTTTAAAGATACCTTTTTCTCCCATGTAACAAAATGTCTCTGCATCTGACAGTTTCAGAAATACTCCACTGGTTAAGCCCTTGCAGAGCTCCGCCCGTGTACTTGGCACACCAGGACCTTCTGATTGGCCCTTCCCTCATTTCCAAGGTGACCTTCTAGCATGAAACCTCCCTCCGGAAAACTTCTAAACTGTTCTAAACTTCTAAACTTCTAAACCTAGCTTCTTCTTTTTTAGGCAACTTTCAATTTGGCCTTTACCCCAGTATTTTGTCATGACTCCTTTTCTAAATCAAGACACCGTATGATGAAGTTTGGGAAGCATTTCCTCACTAGGAAGTTAAAAAACAAAACCGCAAGGCAGCATCTGTTTCAATAGTTTTATTGGAACAGGATGGTAATGCAAACATGGATTCAGGGTACCGCCACAGATGTTCCTCCGCCAGGCAGTATGCACCCCACTTCTGCAGCCAGTAGCGTCTTTAGGAGGCCTGGGGGGGGGGGCAATGGCAGCCCAGAGACACCGTTGCAGGAGTCCTCTGCAGCGACAGGGCGTGGCACCTTGGTTGAAGTGCTGACCAGCAAGTCTGGGATGAGCCAGGCTGTTTTGTCTCCACTGGAGGTCTTATGCCTCCAACTATGTAGCTGTGACTGAGAGATCCTCTTGCCTCAGATTCCTGGGAAAACTCCCAAGGAGAGGTTTCTAGGGAGTCTGGAAGGAATTCAGCTAAGAGACTAAGTATCTCTGGGAGTCACCAGGGCAAATCACACCTTCTGTTTTATTAGCAGATAAATTGCTTAAAGGCTCTGCTTCGTCCACTGTCTGCACTCTTTCTCTGCTCATTCACCCAACAGGTATTTCTTAAGCTCCTACTATGTAACAAGCACTCTTCCAGGGACTGACAACGGCCAACAGAAATAGGCAGGACCCATGGCCTTGTGAGTAGGAAACAGGATTCAAAGAATGCCACAATGACTGCCACACGACAACCACACCAATGCCTTCTAAGGAAAGTTTGGAAGGGGTATGGCAGTGGTCTGACATAGTATGGAGGGTCAAGGAAGATATTCTCAAGGAAGTGACTTGTGAGCTGAGATCTCATAGAGTTAACTGGCCCAAAGCACGGTAAGAACATTTCAAGTGATGGAAACTGCAGTGTGTGCAGCCTGACAGCTGGACAGAGCACAGCGAGTTAAATGCACAAAAAAGGAAGAGCCAGAAGGGCCGAGTGGAGTGATGGGGACATGGTGCAGGAGGAGACCCACTGGCCACGCTGAAGACTGCGTGCGTGGGCATACTTGGGCTTGTGACTTTCCAGTGCAGAATGGACTGGATGGAGGGGTGAGAAGGATGCCCGAAGAGGTGTCAGAAGCTGTTGTGAGGGAGATAATGGCAGTCAGATCAAGGGAAACCAGGGCAGGTGAAGAGAACCAAGTAGACAGCGGGTACCTGTGGGGGCCAGAACTCAAGAGGGCTGATGGTGAGGAGCAAGGCAAAGCCAGGGGGACCCAGGGGCACAGCAGGGCCTGGAGAGGGTGAGTGTGGCTGTGCATGAAACAGCCAGGTGGAGGTGTTGCATAGGTAGCAATGTGTCTGAGCCTCCCTGAAGGAGCCCGGCCTGCAGCTACAAACCTGTGAGTAACCTGGCGCCTCCTAACTGAGTCACAGCTGTGCAGACAATGGAGAGAGAAGGGAAGACTCAGGACGGAGCCTTGGGGAATGGCCTCATTAAATGGCCAGGTAAAGGACCATGAGTTACAAAAGGATGGAAAAGCTAGGCTAGACAGATGGGGGAAGACCAGGAGGGCTCTTGGAAACCAAGGAAGACTGGGTGGCAGGGAGGGCGGAGTCAGCCAGCAGAGATGCTGCTGAGGAGCCCTTTGGACTAAGCCCGTCCACACCCTCATCTCTAGGGGCTGGTTCCTCCCTATCTCCTTGGGTCTAAGTCTTGCTTGGAGGAGGGCAGCCTGAGTTGAGGGGTTATTTGCCCTCTCTCCTGAGAGGCAGCGTAGTGTCAGCAGTATGGGGCCAACACCTGGCTTTTCACCCATCATCCTACTTATTTATCCATTCAACATATATATATTTTTGGTGCCTCCCATGTGCCAGGCACTCTTTTTAGCAGAGTGGCCTTGGGCAGGTCCTGTACTTCTCTGAGCCTCAGTTTCCACCTCCTTAAAGGTGGGTGCTGATCCTACTATAAGCACAAATTGTTACAAGGATTACAAGAGCTCACGCAGGCAAAGTCCCGGGTACACAGCAGATGCTCGTGAAAGTCTGAGCTGCTTCCTTTCCCTCCCCTGTGTTTTCCTTTCCTTTCCTTCCTTCCTTCTGCAGAACCCATGAGGAAGTGAGAGCTCAGTGCTTTCTAGCAATACTCTCTGCCTGGCTTGAGGGACATGCATGTTCCTACACGTACACATCCATGCACACACATATGCACAGATCCTCACCCTTCCCGTTGTCTCTGCTCGTGATTCCTGGGGCCAGCACCAACATGAGCTTTGAGCCTATGAGATTCAGCCCACTGGGTCCAGAGGAGCCCTGAGCACCTGTCTGGGAATGCTGAGCACAGCACAGGCTCTTCCTCCCTAGGCCCCAAATCCCGGTGCCCAGCTGTGTGTTCTGGGAGCCTGCAGACTCAGGCCAGGGGGAGGGGGGTTCTTGGTGGCTTGGGGTCCTTAGAGTCTCCAGGAGTCACATTTGGGGAACTGGGAGCAGTTTCTTCAGTGTCCTGGAGCTGGATCTAGACAGCCTTGGAGGGCAGCATCCTCATGACTTCCTGAAGCGGTGTCCTCAGTGGCTGCTCGGACAGCAGCTCCCCCAAAGGCTCCTCCAAGGGGCCTCCTGTGTGTCTCTGAAGGAACCTCAGTCCCCACAGGCTCTTGCAGCAGCTCAGAATGTTGCTGGGGCACACGGTGCAGGCCAGCGCTGGCTTCCTGAGGAGACACAAGCACAGGCCAGGGCTGAGGCAGCCACAGAGCAAGGCCGGGGGGCAGGCTTGGCCTTTGACTTTGCTTCCACTAAGGCAGCAGTTCTCAACCTGTGGGTAGTGACCCCTTTGTAACAATGAAAATACATCCTGCATATCAGATATTTACATTACGATTCATAACAGTAGCAAAATTACAGTTATGAAGTAGCAACGAAAATAATTTTATGGTTGGGGGTTGCCACAGCATGAACTGTATTAAAAGGTCATGGCATTAGGAGGTATTAGGAAGGCTGAGAACTGTTGCACTAAGGGAAGGGTGGGGTGGGGTGGGTCAGGGGACCTCCTTTTGCCACCCAGGGCAGTACACGGGCAATAGGGACTCTCCCTGTCAACCCACAAGGAGGCACATTCAGGGACTTGCTTTCAAATCCCAATTCAGCTTTTAACACACAGAGGCAATTTCTGAGTATCTACAGCATGCCTTACCCGAGTTGGGAAGGTGGAGAGAGGTCTGTGTTATTCTGTCTCTCTTTAAAGTACATTGGCCACTGGGGGAGTCCAGCTCACTGCTCCCTCTCCCTTCTTTACAGAGAGGGAGGGGCATCTTGTTGCCTTTGGAGTTCATCTGAGGGTAGCTGTAGATTTGGAGGCCTGACTTTGTAAGGCTTTGTGAGCAAGGACACAGCTGACACCCATGCCCACAGCTGCCACCTTTGACGCATGGGCACATTCCAGCCAAGCCACTGCCAGAGGCCCCAGCATGGCCCACGTGCTCCCTGTAGGGTGGTCAGTCTCCTCCTCCCCAGGACACTCCATCTGCACCTGGCCCTCAAGGTCATCTCTCTGGCGATTCAGAAGCTGCGGGTGTCCCGTGCTATGTTAGCAGTGTACATATTTGACCAAGAGGCCAGGTATTTGCGCTTGGATTAACATTCCAGACAGAGCCAGAGAAAGTGACTCTCACTGAAAGTGGCTCTGAGCAAGTGACTCTCACTGAAATCACAGAAAAATTGTGCTGGCTCTGGCCTACAAAACAACTACTTCCTTCTTTTAAGGGGCTTAAATACCACTTAAAATAATACTATTTTGGAAATATCACATGTTCATAGTAAAAAATTTGGAACACGAAGATTAACAAAAAGAAGAAAATAAACATCTCAAGCAATTCCCCTGCTCAAGTATATCGTTTTGTTATGTGCCAATTCAGTCATTAAATATTTTAAATGGAATGCATTTAGCATCCAGAAGGCCTCTATAGGTATACAGCACATACACACCATCTAAAGAACATTGAAAAGAATACCAGTGTAACTGCCTCTCAGGTTAAGGGACAGAACTTTATCAGCACCTGACTTGTTTCAGCAAATATTTCTACATCCCTAAATAACTGATTGTATTGTTCTGCCTATATTTTACTTTTATATAAATGGAATCATGGTTTCTTATTTGTTGTTGTTGTTTGTTTCTTTGTTTTATTTTTAAGGCAGAGTCTCACTCTGTTACCCCTAGCTAGAGGGCCCTAGTGTCAGCCTAGCTCACAACAACCTCAAAATCCTGGGTTTGAATGATCCTCCTGCCCCAGCCTCCTGAGTAGCTAGGACTATAGACATCCACCACAACACCCAGCTAATTTTTCTATTTTTTTTCTTTTTTTTGAGATAGAGTCTCAAGCTGTCACCTTGGGTAGAATGTATGGCATCATAGCTCATAGCAACCTCCAACTCCTGGGCTCAAGCAATTCTCTTGCCTCCTCCTCCCAAGCAGCTGGGACCACAGGTGCCTGCCAGAATGCCTGGCCATTTTTTTGGTGCAGCTGTTATTATTGTTTGGCGGGCCTAGGCTGGACTCAGCCAGGCCAGGTGTATGCGGCTGGTGCCTTAGCCGCTTTGAGCCACAGGCGCTGAGCCACAATTTTTCTATTTTTAGTAGAGACAGGGTCTTGCTTTTGCTCAGGCTGGTCTCAACTCCTTAGCTCAAGCAATCCTCCTCCTTGGCCTCCCAGAATGCTAGGATTACAGAGGTGTGAGCTATCATGCTTGGCTTGGAATCATGTTTATGGGTTTTATTCTATAGCTATTTTTTGTGGTTGTTTAACATTCTTTTTTTTTGAGATTAAACCACGTTGATGGGTGTACCTTAGCTCATTTTCACTGTTGTAAAATATTTCCTTGTATAACATACTTCACCTTATCTATTCATTCCCTTGGTTGACATCCAGATTGTTGCCAGTTTTTTACGAGAAGGGCTGCTCAGGACATCCCTGAATCTGTCTCCTGGTGCACATAAGTAGAAGTTTTAAAGTAGAAATCTGGAGTTTAAGTGCTAAGTCATGAGTGTAGATGGTTTCAAGTTTAGGAGTTTGGCTGGACTGCTTTCCAGAGGGGCAGCACTGGTTCCACTCCCACTGCGGGGGGGGGCGGGGGGCAGGAGAATGTCGCCGCTCTGCGTCCTCACCAGTATCTGGTCTTGTCAGACTTGAGACAATTTTCTCAATCTGTTGGGTGTAAAATGGAATCTTCCTGTTCTTTAAGTTTGTTTCCCTGATTACTAATGAGGTTGACGTCCTTTTTATTTTTGCTGGTCATTCACATTTCTCCTCTTGAAAAGGTCTATTCAGGTCTTGTATCCATTTGTCTTCTTTCCCTTCTTCCTCCTCCTCCTCCTCCTCCTCTTCCTCCCTCCTCCTCCCCTTTTCTTACTGATGCATAGATGTCTTTATATATGTCCGAACACTCACATTACACTTTGGGTTACGTTACTGATCTCCCAGTGTGGGACTTAACTCTTCACTTTCTTTCTGGTGTCTTTTAGAAAAGAATTTCTTAATTCTAATAGTCAGGCTTATCTATTTTTCCTTTGTGGTTTGGCTTCTTGGCCCTTATTTAATAAATCCTTTCCCACCCCAAGTTCATAAAGGTATTCTATATTTTCTTTTAAAAGTTAAATTTTTGCTTATTAACCTATCTGGAATTGATTTTAGTGTATCAACTAAAATCGAATTTTATTTTATTTTCCCATCCCCTTCCCCTCACAGCACTCCTGAATTTTTTTCTTTTTTTTTTTT